ACTCCGTGCAGCAGAGTGGGATCAGGGGCACCGACAAAAAAGTTGGCTCCAGAGGTCGGACTTGTTGGCTGGGTCCCTTTCGATCCGATCGATCTGGCTCGGTATCGATGCTGGGCGGCTCGATCCGATTCGACTCCGACACTCTGACGATACCATGCGGCCCGATGCTCGCATGGCGCTGTGGTGCGGTGCATCTTGGCGCGGCCGATCAGATTCGGTTCCGACTTCGTGCCGATGCAGCCCGATCCGACGCACTGTCCGATCCGATCCCGTTTCCCAGCTCCGTGCTCGGACCGATCCCGCCCTTTCCCCCCCCCGGTGCGGGCGGGGAGTGAGCACGAGCGTAGCCATCGATACCACGTCGATTGTCTGATGGGCCGCCCTCGCTGCCGACGCCCGCCAGGATCGGCCCCCGGGAGAGGCGCGCGGCGCTATCGGCTCAAAGCGGCACCTCGGCCGGCCGCCGGCATGGCGGCCGAGGCTCGCGCCACCGCGCAGGCAGGCGTGCGCCTCGCCTCGGCCCCGTCGCCCTGCGGGGTGGCCACTTCGATCCGATCGATCCCGTTCGATAGCGACGTTGGCCGGCCGGGTTCCGATTCGATTGCGATGCTCGAAAGTCGGGGGAGAAAAGATACGGATACGTGTTGTCCCCCTTCGTTTTCGGCCTTTCCTGGTCCTCCTGGGGAATCCTCGTTGTCACCGCTGGATTCGCCTCGAAATTCTGGTCAGAACGCACCCCAAGAGAGGTCCGGGGACAACACGTATCCGTATCTTTCCGCCCCCCAAGAAAGAGCGTGTCTCGTGGTCGCTTCAGTGGGGGGGTGGGGGGCGCCTATGACCCTCCCCCCCGGCCTCGGGGAAGGGGGGCCGGGCGGTGGGACCCGCCCCCTCTTTGCCAGCAAGTGACGATGATGACGGCAACGACGACGACGAAGACGACGACGACGACGACTACGGCGACCACGACCACGACCGCGACGACGACGACGACGACGTCGTCGCCGTCGTCGCCGTACCAACGATTGAAATTCACACTTAATGTCCCGCCTGCCTGCACACTTTAATGTCCCGCCCGTCGTCGTCGTCGTCGTCGTCGTCGTCGTCGTCGTCGTCGTCGTCGTCGTCATCGTTTTCATTCGTTTCATTGTGTAATTTCTTCGACCTTGCCACGCCAACGAGTCAAACGACGATACCGTCGACGACGACGTCGCTTCACCAACCATTGGAGCTCACATTTACTGTCCCGCCCGCCTGCCCGCCCACTTGACTGTCCCCCTGTCGTCGTCGTCGTCGTCATCGTCGTCGTCGTCGTCGTCGTCGTCGTCGTCGTCGTCGTCGTCGTCGTCATCGTTTTCCTTCGCCTTCATTTTCTGTATTATCCCCCAACCGCTTTATGTCCCGCCAACGAGTGGAACTTTCATTTCCCGCGTCATGTCCCGCCCGCCCGGCTGACCCGCCGGCATTCCTGGCCATCCCGCGTCGTCGTCGTCGTCGGTCGTGGCAGGAGCCACGCGCCAGGGGTCAGCAGGATTCCGTCGGCCCATCTTATCCTGAGGAGGAGGAGGAGGAGGAGGAGGAGGAGGAGGAGGAGGAGGAGTAGGAGGAGGAGGAGGGGGAGGAGGAGGAGGGGGAGGGGGAGGGGGAGGGGGAGGGGGAGGGGGAGGTCATGCGCGAAACTCAGCGGGCGGCTTCGCCCCGTCTCTCACGGGCTCTGGGGCCCCCGCACGGCCGCCTGCAGAAGCCCGGCCTCTCGGGGTCTGCTGGGCGCCGTGGGAGCAGGAGCACCGCTGGATCGGCGCATACGCCCTCTCCCCGTCCCCCTCCTCCCTCCTCCCTCCTCCCTCCTCCCTCCTCCCTCCTCCCTCCTCCCTCCTCCCTCCCCCCTCCTCCCTCCTCCCTCCCCCCTCCCCGCTTGGCCAGGGAGGCGTCGTCACCGGCCCTGGGCCCAGGAGGGGCCCGGTCGGGGGCGGCGGGGCGTGCAGCCCTCGTCGCTCGGCCGCGGGCGCCTCTGGCCCGGGCTCGGGCTCCGGGGGCCCTCCCCGTCGGATCCGGCCGAAGCCCGCGGACCTGCTCGGGCCCCCGTGGGCCCTCGGGGGCCCCCGGGGCCCTCAGGGATGGAGGCGGAGGGCGGCGTCGTGAGCTCCGGTCGTGGGCTGGCGTTCGCGGCGCTGCCGATGTTGTAAGGACGTGTCGGATCTCGGGGGGCTGAGATCTGAGCCCGCGGTCTCTGGTGTCATCTACGCGTGCTTGGAGAAAAGAGGACAGGCGGGGTCCGTAGCCTGGGTTGGTCAGAGGTCGCCTCGTCTTTCGCCCCTTGCCTCTCAACAATGTCCGCACACGCGCCTCCCCAGAAGCGAATGCGCACCGAGAAGAGCATGAGCGGAGGCATCTGCGTTGTGGGCGCGTGCTTCACAGACCTTGTTGCGTATGCTCCGCGCATGCCCAGACCTGGTGAGACGCTACCCGGCAGCAAGTTTTCCACAGGCTTCGGCGGCAAGGG